TTATCAAAAAACAAACAAAACAGAGCAGAATTTTCGCAATGAATAAAATAGCTATATATATTTAATGAACATTAACAGTCAGAAAAAGTTTCAAAACATGAATAAAGATATTCTCATGGCAGTGAAGTTAACACCGATTGTCGCTCTGTGTCATGTTCAACATGGGTCCCATGCAACGGATTGCTTACTTGATATTCCAACACATTTTATGTGATGATGGTTTACTTATAAAAAGACAAATGCACTTTGAATTACTGATATTGTAGGTTATTTTCTTTTCTTGATTTTAGGTTTAGTTTGAAACCTATACCTCACAGATTTTTTAATTATATTTTGCCATTTCAGGTACCAGTTAAATGAGCCACATGGTAGAATGGGGATTATTTGTTTTCTGTTTGTTTATTCAAACCTATGTTTAATGTAAAAATTTGAGTAAAAAAATAAATTACTCAATGCTATTAGCAATGCACATTTCACAAGAAATCTGAACAAAACTTACACAAGGTACCTACATTAAAGAATTAAAGATATTATCACAAAATGAACAAATGTGAGAGAGAACCATCCAAGGTACCTATATGTTCAATATTAAAGAAATCAGACCTGCAGTTTTCAACAAGTCGTAAAATTACAAAATTATTTATCAAAATTAGAAAATTAAAGATATTATCACAAATGAACAAATCAAAGAGAGATCTACCAAGGTATATATATATACAAAGTAGAAAAGCGTTAAGGCTTGCAGTTTTCAAGAAAAAGTTAGTGCTGACGGCAGATGCCAATGAAAAATCAGTCATATTGGTTAGCTCAACAAGTTGAGAGTGGATGAAGACATCAGAAATGACTCATCATGTTATATAGGGGTCACACCACTAATTGAATTTCCATAAACGACAATCTTAACATATGACGAGATTGCTATATGGAAATGATGAAGAAAGTTGAAAACATGGTTCAAAAATGGGAAATAAACATGCCAATAAACAACCATATGAAAAAAACTAACATGTTGGCCAGCTCAAACTCTTGCAAATCTCAGGTAAACAAGACACACCTACTGTATTTGGATTGCACCAAGAGAAATCACTGGGAAAACACCAAGATTAGAACATCCAAATACACACAGAATAAACCCACAGGTACTCAGTCGCTAAGTAGTAAACAGAAGACCACATGTTGGTCTCGTGTTTTACCCAGGTGATTACGCTCTCAAACAGGGAGCACCTGAGAAAAGAAATATTTACGAGCAGCCATTGGTTGATTAGTGGCATGAGAAATAAGAAGGTTTAATAAAGTTCTTGTTGATCTTATATATGATGGAATATCATTAGACGAGTAATTTCCCATGCAAAAAAAATCCCCAAAATTTAAACCCTCAGTTATTTATCAAAATTTACCACTTCGTGGCACCCTATACCCAGACAATTAGTTGTAGAAATTGGCAACATACACACTCAGCATAACACAAAATTAGATGGTAGGCAATGAATATAAGCCTGATTATTAGATGCAGTACTGTAAAGTATAACGTTCTCATTCACCACAAACAAGTACAACCCAATGGTTGGCATAATTAGTAATTTAATTAATTAATTTATAGAAATAATACATAAAATTATGATAATTAAAGGTAGTTTATCACTATACCGGTAATTATATAACTATAAAAAAAAAACAATTCTACTGAATCAAAAGTCTCAATTCATCAGCTCATTATTTCTCCAATTACTTAAAAACAAAAAAACAATTCCACAGTATCTGCATTTAGGCCGGAGACACGTGACTGACAATCTTGGATATACCAAAACACAACAGTTGGTTTGATTTACCATGGCCACACATGGAATTTGCTCAACATAATACGCTTAATCAAATCTTATGTGAAAAAGATGGGATTAATTGGCTAACTATTCACAAAAATTCTGAGAAAAGAGCAATACCCTAATTGTGAAATTGAATGAGTTGTAATACTTGGCTAATATACTGACAGTATGCAAATCTCTTGACAGTGACAAGATACACAACACAATTTTGAGAATTTATTTGGGAGTTTGACCTCATTAAACTTTGAATAGGGTACATTAAAAATGACCACACTACAAATTGTTAAGATTGTCTACCATAATGTGAAAATAAGACAAAAAACCCATAAAATGGGGTTAAGCATTTTTCTCAGAATTCCTAGAGCCATTGAAATTAGTGGTGACATGAATAATTCATTGTTGAATGAATGACATTTTTGAACCAGTTTAATAAAAACATTTATATTTACAGACCACAGCCCAACCTAAATCAAATTAATATATTATAATATTAGGGCAAAAAATATACCGAATTACAAATTTTCAAAGTCTTTAACCAAGATATAAGAGATTGACAGAAATAGGTTGTGATGAACAGCTTCACAGCACATCATCGAACATGCCTCACAGTAAAACCATGCTGACCGGGAATAAAATCTACAAGTTCTCCAGTCACTGCTGGTAAGTCATCTATATGAGGAAAATCTAGGAATAAGCAAAACATACAAATCAGGATATAATTAAAATATGATTTAAGACAAGGAGCATTATTAATAGACTACATGTACATTTCTGGAGTGTCAGATATTACACTACCAAACACATCATTTTCTGTTCAATGCAAGATCTTGTATTATCGGTATGTGTGATTTGACAAAGGAGAAAGTAATTTAAGAGTATTTTCACGCTTGATGATTTTGAAAAAGTAAGGGCATCTCAATAGAATTTTCCTCTCACAATGATTGACATTTCGACATAGAGCTATAAAAAAAGCAATAATTATGCAAGATCTTGCAGTGAACAGAAAATCTGAACCACAATTGAACCAAAGCTTTTCATTTTCAACATTTTTCATTGTAGCAAACCAAACATTTTCCTGCCATGCAAAGTGATGTGATAGATATTTTGAGAACGATTTTTAGTGATTATTGTAAGCTGACTCAAACAAAACGGCTCAAACAATAATAGCATATGATACTGAAATCTGCAAGTCATCTATTGTAACTAACTTTTATTTAAATTACATCGACGAGCAATAATTACAAAAAAATAAAAACAAAATGCTCTGTTTCTGCATGATGTATAGATTTAAAGCTTGTTTTAAGTTATTCATGCATTATATGGGAGTATGTATGTCATGACGCTATAAAACACAACTAGTCTCCATGCTTGTGTGGAAAATCATTCTTATGCAAGAAAAACATTCTTTGATTGAACATTTCTATGGCATTGTGGTATTGGTACATTGCTCTAAACTGTAGTAGTCATATGATAAATGCATAATAATTGATGACTATGTCTTTATTTTTTGGCCAGTATGTTATGTTGGACCTCAAATATTTTGTTTACAACTTTCTAACATGGCTTGATCGTTCCCACCAGACTGCATGATGCCCATGATAAATCAATAATAACAATTATAATTGATATTTGAAACACTAATACTAGAAATAAAATAGTATCAACGAAGAGATCAATACTGAAATAAAAATATTATCGACAAAAGTTGCCCCGGATACACTTGATTACAGCTTAGCTGGAAACCCATTATAAAGTGACAATATCCCATTTAAAGGTTTGACATCACTTGCATCACATGACCTCAAAAAACCTGTATACAATATAGGTCGCTTGAGATTCTAAAGAAAAGTCCATTCAACTAATTATATCCTTATTCCATTCTAGGGTCAGGCAGCTTCTTGTTATATTCGGAGGCTCACTTAGCCTTAGTGCTTCAATTTCAACTTGTCAAGATCTCCTTTGCCCAGAAAGATCAGTGTTGCCACTGACAGTAGTTTCTTAGGGTGGCCCATGTCCAATCAATTTTAATTTTGTTGTTTTTTAGTTGCCATAGTGTTAGATGTAATTTCATATGCAGTCTTTTCCTACTTTTATTAAGCCTTTCAGTTAATTTGTTGTTTTCTTAATAAATGTTTACAATACAAAGTCCACATTGAAATGTTTACCAATGGTTATTATAATCTTGGAAGAAATATGACTACCCTTACTCTGTTTAGTAGCATTGCGACTTTCAAGGCACTTTACACATTCACTTGAATGCCTGTAAAAAAACAAAGATGGCGATACAGTAATCTAATGTAATGATACTGATTTAGCCATTGCTTACTGTGGTAGCTATGTTGCAATTCTTCCATGCAGTCGTGAATGGCTTACACAAAGGTGTGTTGGTTATTTTCATGAACAACTCACCATCAACGTCTGGTTACCAACTTTTGAAATTGGTAGCGCACTTAGACTTATAATAATAATAGTAAATCCTTTATATGTATCTGGTCAAGTCAATGTAAAGGTACATGAGGCTGACAGGATAGGGGTTAAAGTAGCCCTGTACATCATCTACATATCATCTGTGTTTATTACAATATTGTTTATGCAAAGTATGAACTAGTTGGTGAATAACTTTAATATGAATATTCATGACTAGATTGTTTGCTTTAGAAGGAAAAAAAACATTTGAGGCGCATACAATGTAGTTCAAAATGATGCGTGCGGAAACGAGAAACAGATATGTTTTTTCTCAGCTTAATAATAATTTTTCTCTGATTTGTTCTTTATTGGCTAAACAAATTTCAAGTGTAACTTTTATTGAAACAGCAGGAACACAAATTCTTTTCATACTATACCTTTTGTGAGTGCTTGATCTATCTGGCTCATTGTCAGTTCCTTCTGTTTTGTTATCTTCTGTTGGAATATCTTGTTGCTTCTCCCACTCAAATCCACCTTGCATTCGAGTCACTGGGTGGGAATATGGATTATTTAGTAGGCAATGCAGAGAGGGATTATTTTTTTTCCTATACTGGTATGTGTTAACCAAACTCAAATTCATTGTTTGTGCAATAGTGAGATGACTTTTAGAAATAGAAATTCTATGGCTTATTTTAATAATAACAGTAATAATAATAGCTGTAATAGCAGTAATTATTCGCTGTGTTTAATTTATGTCATTTTTTAAATATTTTTTGTTAACACTGTAATGGCATTAGATATTGATTGGATTTTAATTTTACTATTTTGCGAAGACGAGAATTTTGCTAAATCCGATCTAAGTGAACATGTTATACTAGAATAAAAATGGTAAACTGTTTATAGTTTAAAACCCAGTAAATTGACTCAGATTAGTGAAATAGAAAAGAAAAAATATTCTTTTACAGTACCAGTATATTAATTTTTCCTGATTTGACGAAGACGACATGATATTTGTAACGCCATTGTAATTTCACTGCTGCAAAATCTTGAGCTCTTAGCTTATTTTACAGTATTTTTAATTAAGTAGGCTTACATTCATACATCTCAGCAGGTGGTAGAAAATATTTTCCAAGAACAACATCATTCAGAGACTTTTCTCTGCAGCAAGCATCTATATAACTGGCATGAAAAACTGCTATGGCATTATCTGAATAAAGAGTGGAGCTAAATATCCTGAAAAAAAAAAAAAAAAAAAAAAATAACAACTACTATTATCAACTCATTGAACCTTCGGTATTTTCCCCAGGCATTTTAATTTTTTTCTCATCATTATTTTGAGGATTGCATCGTAAGTGGTGTGATATGTGATAAAGATCTCACGAAAATTGAAGAAAAGTAATTTGAATTGTGAGATGATCACAAAATATGTTACATGATCGATCACGGCAAGATATAACAAACTTTGAACATCGCAACTAGCTAGGTTTTTTATGTTTTGCGTACAACACTTTCAACAAAATGTTGCCAACAATACAAATTTACAGCAAGTGTTATATTAAACATTATTTCCGTATCGTAGGAAATTTCATTCTTATCTTCTTATCGGAGTTCGTTTTCACTTTGACTGTCAAACCAATATTCCTAGACTAGTTTTCATAAGGGATGCAGGGGTGGTAAAAATTTAGTGGGAACACTATTGGGAACATAACTGGATCTATCCCATATGCAAATATATGAGATTAGTTAAATCTTAGCCCGTACTTGGTGTAGTGTGAATACTACCATTGATAGTGTTATAGCAGTTTTCATGATCAGTGTCACCCAATGTAAACATACCATTGTGTATCTTCTGCCATGGAATCTTCACTAAATAGAAATTTAGCTGTGTTTCTATCGGCAAAAATCCCACCTTCTTGCACTAAAAAAAATCATGAAAAATGTACATTCTGATAACAGAAATATGAAAATGATCAAGCTGCAATTGTTATTTTTTTAACTTAAAAAATAATTGCACTTACATTTCTTCAATGTTGCCTGCAACTAAAAGGCAAATTTGGCACTTCGGGAGTCACTGGTGATTAGAAGTTCAGCACTGTGACAGGATTGTGAGTCAAACCATGGAGGTAGAAAAGAGAAGGAGTGAGGACGCTATTGTTTCCGCTGGTTTCATGATGCTTTGGATTTGTTTACTCACATACACAATGTAATTAGTTTGCAAACACGCTGTACAATGTCACAGTTAATCAGCTTACGTGTTTCGGCTGTATTCGGAAGCTTCATGAAGATTCTCAACGCACTGCGCATGCCCAAACAGATAACAATAATACAGAATGCAGTGACGTACGCTAAGTGACTGATGTTTAACGGAATTTATTTTTTTCAGTTCTACTCTCGTTTTCTTGTGTAAATAAGCGGCTATCATCATGTAGATAAAATGACTTCTAAACAAAAACAATAAGTGGCTTAACCAGAGCGAAGACAAAGGATGTTTATAAGATTAACATGGGCTTAAATAGCGTCCTCACTCCTCTTTTCTTCCATGGTCATGTGGACAAGGCGATCCAAGCACAGGCGCTCGTAACGTTTCTTGGATAATAAAAAATGACCTAAAGTAGGGTCGTTAGTCAGTCGCCGGTACATTCGTCTGCCACTCATATAATAACATAACATGAGTGGTAGGCGAATGCACAGGCGACTGACTACTTTAGTATGGGGTGAGAATACCGCCAAAATTAGCTTGGTGTCATTATTTGAACATTGTTTAGTTGTTTGGTCTTTATTTGGAAACTTGTTTGGTTATTATTTGGTCATTATTCGGTTATTTGGTCTTTATTTAAACATTATTTTGCACTTATTGTGTTATTACTGCAGCATCATATTGCTATTGTTTCATTATTCCAACTTCATTTCTTAATTATTTCATTATTGTGTAATTGCTACAATATTATTTTGTCATTGTTTCACAATGTTACAATTGTGTCGTTATTTAGACATTATCTTGACATTCAATTGTTATAAGATTCTTGATATTCGGTTCGCTTAACTTGCGATGACCTCGACATTCGGTTCGCTCTACTTGCGATTACCTCAACATTCGATTACCTGACCTACATTAGCTGACCCCGCTATACATGTAGTATTCAATCCATAGTCCCGGGCCGCCTCCGATAAAGCATTGCTCAAGATGGCAATGCGGCCTTTGTAAAAGTTAGCGGGAATTTCTAAATAATGGTCGTTTCGCCAACATCCAGGGAACTAACTGAGGTTGTCAGAGCCTGTTGATTAGAGAATATTACTTCTCTAAATGCGATGACTGAAGTGAGGGGGAATTATTACCCAATTGATCGTGACACGGTCAATAACCGGCCTTTCAGCGGACTTGGTAGTGCCATCACGGTTCTTTTTTTTTAGTAAAAGTTGAACCATGTATCATTCTGATTCTCATTCCCCGGCCTCTCTTATCTCATGTACTTATTGACAGACATATTCCTGTTATGGGCGTGATTTGTTTTACGTTCACTCCGTTATTGTCAAGATGCCAATATATGTACGGCTGATTTGTAGCGCGCCATTCATTTCATGGCGCTACGAAATCGGATGTCTTCGTTGGTAACAACTGCATTGGCAATGAATTTGTGGGTTTCATTGCCAATATCAATCACGTCAGTGTCACGACAGTTTTTCGCAGCCATGCCTCGCATCTGCAATAATCATAATTATGCTGTCTTCGAGGTTTTCGTAAATGTCGACTTCCGATCGCAAAGCAGTTTCACAGTTTCAATTTTGTTTTGATTCGATTGCTGTGAATGTCTCCTCCGTCAAATTCCCCCATATATTACTGGCCAAAGTAGCTTATTCCGACAGATGACAAAACCCAATTCTGTAGTTGACTAGTAATTTGCTATTTAGTAGACTGGGAGCTGAATTCCATCGAAACGTGTGCCCCGGTTGCAACGGGTTTTCATCAGTTGCGCCACGAACTAAATAAACTGGGTTGCAGTTGTAACTGTGAAATTTCGCTTGCTGCACAAGGTTCTCGATAGATGACACTGTGGTTATAAACATTTGCTGTTCAGTATCACCACATAATTTCCAGAAATATCAGTATGTGTGGGCGGGATTCATTCGTTTTATGGATCTTTACATATAACCTTTGACAGTTTATAGTATAATGTATGTTTGTGTTTATTCATATCACATTTATTGACAGTATACTTCTTAGAGTCATCATTTCATAACCATATGTTTTCTCCATATTTCATGTTATGCATGTACAATGTAATCCTAAAGGAAACTACTAGTAAGCACACCGAGCATTAATTTGGCCAATATTTGTTCAAACATCGGAGTAAACACCGTATTTATATCAGGTCAATGAGAACGCCTCCGCCCTAAAAATTGTTACTCGACGAGATCTATGGCAACGTAATCTGTAATTCAGATGGGGCGGCACGAAATTTTACATCGGGGGCGAGATCTGCTCACAACCTCTAGGGGGTCCGGGGGCATGCAAAAATTTAAAATCTAGACAATCTAAAACGCTATTTCCTGCATTAGGGGGAAATTTTGCTGACACAAAGGGTTTCCGCTTGATTTTGGAGAGGCGACGCCCCCAACATTTTCTTCGTGGGGTGACCGCTGCCAATGTGTATGTATGCTATTGAAGAATACATCGAGGTTGAGTTGTAATTTTCACGTGCTCGTTTCAGTTTCACTGCTAAGAAGATCGACCCCCACCCCCCACACACACATACGCGGGTCATAGGTTCATATCGTTTAATTACATAATTTAATTATATTCACACAGAAGTAATAAACTGTCACACATACTCGCCATGACTGACAAATTACGTTGTGTGGAGTATAAACAAGCAAAAAATATTTCTGCGTGTTTTTTCCGTGTCCCTAAATCTTTTGAATGAAATAAAAAAAAACACTGATGCACGCATGTCAATGCGTCTATAGTAGTCTGAAATGTTATGACTTAAGGTTAGGAGTACTTTAGGGTCAACTACTAGTATCTTATTCCGGGATCGCAAAAGCTAATTCGTATACAGTAAAATACTATATTTTAGCTGGAAATAATTTTCGCTGTTATTTCCCCCAATCACTCACGCAAACGCACACACATATGCTATTTCCATATATTGAATACGTTGGCAATGGAAAGGACAAGTTAAATCATATTTGTATTAACACAACTTGAAAGCAACAGTCTCACAATGAATATACATGTATGTCCATCAATTATCAAACTAAACATTCAATGAAGCGGACTGTGACGGTTGAAACGAAAAGACAAGGCTAAGACGAACACATGTGACAGTACGATTATTCTCGTCTACTACACGCCCGGGGACTACAAGTTCAAGTATCCAACTTCCCAGCTTACAAAACATGATTAGTATCAGCAATAGTTTCTAGTACTGCCTGGATAATTGTGTATTATTAGTTGACATCAGACATAACCCTGTACAGGATCGTTTGAACAATGTCTCAAATTCCCGAAAGGATATATTCAAATAAGTTGGGATGAATATGAATTGAATATCCATAAGATCTTTTGAAAAATCAGCTAAACAGTTCTCCACCACGATTATGGTGAATTGGCGAGTCTTCAACGAAAACGACTGGACGTCTCCGGTCATGAGCTGGCTGGTTCGAATTTATTTATCCACTTCTACAGTGATGAATATTGCATTCGAGTTGAGTTACTAGTAATTACAAGCCTGATTTACATTTTTCTTGTGTTTTTGTCAAGGTATTAAATATAAGTGCGTTGGGAAATGGCATAATTATATTGCCTGAGTGAAAG